TTTTTTTTCTGTCTTTTTTTACTTTTTTCATCAAAATTTTTTGGGTCTAATTTATTCAGTTTATATATTTCAGGCATATAGCTGCTTAGCAAAATTTCAATAATGCTTCGTGCCTTGACCAAAAAAAAATTTTTGGTTGTAATAATGTCGTATATTATAGTGGAAAGAAAAATAAACAAATAATTATTTAGCGCTTAGCCTGAACTATAAATTTACCTAATCAATCGCAATCTTCATCTAACTTTTCTGCTGTCACTAATATTCTGTTCAAAAATTTTCAGCACTTTAGTTCACCAGCAAACCACAGTTACCCGATGCTAAAGTATTTGATAATTGCTATCATCGTCCTGCATAGATGCTCATCTGGACTAGACCTGTGCATGTATTTTGCTATTCTTGGCAAGCCTCGACCAGAATGTGAAATACTTGTCACCGAAGAAACTCCAGAGCATGATGAAGAACCAGGTTAGACCAATTTTTTTGCACCAATTTGGCATAGAACTCTGTAGCGTTTATTGACCTTCCCTATAGATTTAGAAGCATTTTGCACTTAACTGAATGTAGCAGAAATTTTTTTTGATATTTCTATTAACCACAAATATCATCCGAAATACTGGGTAATTGAAATTGACATTTTCTATTTTTAGCTGTTTGATTTTTATCAAACATTTAACCTTTTTTTTTTTTTTTTTTTTATAAATTCTTTACTAAAGAGTAAAAAGTAAATTTGTTTAAGCAACTTGGAAAAAGTCATCTGAACAAAAAGAGATCGATTTTTTGGCTTCAATTTTTTCATGCAGCTAATTTTCTGTTTGTAAGTTTGATTAGTGAAATATCAATAAATCAAATGAATAGTGACAATTATGATTATCAGATAAAAATAGATTTTTGCTTACAGAGATGATTAGCAGTAATACTGACGATTTATCTGATGTTGGAAATAGCAGATTTATTGATGACAATTTATACGCTTTATTTAATAAGCGACAACGTGCTGTTGGTAAGTTTACACAAATAGCAGCTAAATAGTTCAAAATTACAGCGCAAAACCTCTATATAACAAAAATTTAGATTTTTTCTGTTTTAAATTGTGTAATTTTGGTTATTCCCATATGATACTAAACATAGGTAAATTATACCAAATGCAATGTCAATTGTACAGAAGAGGCACAGTCAATGATTGAACGGCAGCTAATTAAATTTTTTAATTTTTTTCAACTGTTTCAGCTTATCATTTCAATTTTTCTCTTTTTAAATACGTGTACTTATTTATCCGTTTTTTTTCTGCCATAACTTTAGGTTTATTTGAAAAAGCGGAAGATATCAAAAAACATGCGAATTCAAACAGTGAAGAACCACTGGATATATGCAATGGAACAGTCTACAATGTATTATTCTGGCTTATATCAATAACAGCGAAAATAGCTTTTTTTTTTTTCTTTTGTTCGTTGAATGATCGATGTCTTCAATGAGAAAAAAAATTTTTTTTTCAGTTTAACAACGCTAAAACCAATGAAAATTTCAACTTTATTGACACCATTATCAAATGAGATGATCTTCAGCAAACAGTTTTTTTTTTTTTT